AATCTTATTATTGGACATTTTATATATTTCATAACATTATATTCTAGGCCTAGTGATGGGTTTAGTCCCTTTGTATCCTGTAGTTATCAGATATCTATCTGAAAACATTGATTGAATATGAAGAATTTACATCCAGCAGCTTCCAGTAAATTTTATTACATACAAATCTACTATGAAAGTACAGAGCAGAGAGCTGTGTAATATAACATAGAGACCAGTCAATTATACAACATGCATTTATTGTGTTATGAAATGTTGTGCATAATTTACACACAGTCACAGGGCCATCACTACAAATCATGGTACATAATTTTAATGAATGGGCTTCCTTTCCCCTGGTCTCAATAGGTAGGCAATAGAGGACCTTGGTATTATTTGTACTATAATTGAGCCGTAATATTTGTTTTTATGCCATAATGTATATAATTGACCCTATGTATTAAGTTAGTGACAATACCTTTTGCAGGTAGCCAAAAAACGCAGCCATATATATGGTACAGAAAGAATTCCTAAAAAGTCTAAACTGAATACTAATTTCAGTTATCAATCATATTAACCTGGCATAAATTATTTGGAATATGCAACATAAACGTTTAATAGTGTTTAATGCTTAATAAAACCTCAACATTTTGATTAAATGAATGAATTATAATATGCAGCAGCAGTTATGTGGAGATGTAACCAGGCCACAGTTTACACAGATGATGCTGCGGATGGCAGATGGTGATTCCCGTTCACATCACATCATATCCGCTGCTTCTCTAGACTCACTGCTGGAGCGAGCCCTGGGTGACGTCACACATGTCATCCTTATCTGGAAATCTCCATTGTACAGTGAATTTACAACTCACTTTACTTAAAAAACTGATATGAAATACAAGCTAAATGTTGATGCACCACCTTTCTCCATAAAACGCAGCACGAATAATCTAACTCGACATGTATTTGAGTCTGTAGTGATATTTTAAAGAGGTCAAATAAGCTCACATTTAAGAATCAACGATATTTTCTATCGTTTGATTGAACTATACAGTGACAGCTGACGAGGCTGACTCCAGCTCCTTTTTCGCCAGCTCCTTATTCGTCGAACTATTCGTTCCACCTTAAAAATGTTGGACGGTTGTTAACCCCTCCCTCTCGGTGCTTTTTGCACAAACAGTTGTATGTGAATTACAAGCCTGTGTGGATCGGGCAGCATTTTTCATTTAACAGTGATTTTCATTTAACAGTGAAAATAAATAGCCTATTCCTGAAAAGATCATCTTGTCTGCCTCTATAAATGGTGTAAGCTATGTGGTAAATTATTATTTTGTAATTACTAAATGTTTTTTTTAAAGTATGGAGAAACGTGACAGTATGTTTCCAACTGAGATTTAATGTAATGTAATTTCTGTTCTTTATTAGAAGTTATCCATTACTCCAGTCTAATATAATGTATGTATGTATATATGTATGTATAGGCCTATATATATATATATATGTATGTATGTATATATATATACATACATACATACAGTATATACATACATATATACATACACACACATATATATATATATATATATATATATATATATATATGTATGTATATAGTATATGTATGTATATAGGTATGTATGTATGTATCTATATATATATATCTATATATATATATATATATATATATATATATATATATATATATATATATATATATATACGTGTGTGTATTTGTGTGTGTGTGTGTGTGTGTATACTGGACAAAGCATACTGGAGGTGTCATTACTTTATTATTTCACAAGTTCTCAAAAAAACGGGAACGTAGAGGCATAGATTAATTCATTCTTAAATGAAATCTTGCATTCCAACATTTTCTGATGTGTTATTATTGAAATATGGTACCCAGAACATGCCCCACCATTGCAACTTTATCTGCCGACATAGCATACTGGAGGTGTCATTACTTTATTATTTCACAAGTTCTCAAAAAAACGGGAACGTAGAGGCATAGATTAATTCATTCTTAAATGAAATCTTGCATTCCAACATTTTCTGATGTGTTATTGTTGAAATATGGTACCAAGAACATGCAATATAATGTGAAATAATGTGCCGACGACGCATACTGGAGGTGTCATTACTTTATTTTTTCACAAATTCTCAAGAAAACGAGCACGTAGAGGTATAGATAAATTAATTCTTAAACGATATCCTGCATTACAACATTTTCTGATGTGTTATTGTTGTAATATGATACCCGGAACATGCAACTGTACGTGCCGACGAAGCAAACTGGAGGTGTCATTATTTTATTTCAAAAGTTCTCAAAAAACCGAGCACGTAGAGTTATAGATGTATCCATTCTTAAACGAAATCTCACATTACAACATTTTCTGATGTTATTGTTGAAATATGGTACCCAGAACATGCAACTGTGTGTGCCGACGAAGCATACTGGAGGTGTCATTACAAATAACACAGCAGAAAATTTAATGCAGGATTTCATTTAGGAGTGAATTTATCTATACATCTACGTGCTCGTTTTTATGAGAACTTGTGAAATAATAAAGTAATGACACCTCCAGTATGCTTCGTCGGCACATACAGCTGCATGTTCTGGGTACCATATTTCAAACATAACACATCAGAAAATGTTGTAATGCAGTATTTCGTTTAAGAATGAATTAATCTATGCCTCTACGTTCCCGTTTTTTTGAGAACTTGTGAAATAATAAAGTAATGACACCTCCAGAATGCTTTGTCGGCACACAAAGCTGCATTGAGTGGCATATACTGGGAACCATATTTCAATAACAACACATCAGAAAATGTTGTAATGCAAGATTTCATTTAAGAATGAATTAATCTATGCCTCTACGTTCCTGTTTTTTTGAGAACTTGTGAAATAATAAAGTAATGACACCTCTAGTATGCTATGTCGGGACATAAAGTGGCAATGTGTGGGGCATGTTCTGGGTACCATATTTCAATAATAACACATCAGAAAATGTTGGAATGCAAGATTTCGTTTAAGAATAAATTAATCTATGCCTCTACATGCTTGTTTTTTTGAGAACTTGTGAAATACTAAAGTAATGACACCTCCAGTATGCTATGTCGGCACATAAAGTTGCAATGGTGGGGCATGTTTGGGGTACCATATTTCAATAATAACACATCAGAAAATGTTGTAATAAAAGATTTCATTTAGAAAATGAATTAGTCTATGCCTCTACGTTCCCGTTTTTTTGAGAACTTGTGAAATAATAAAGTAATGACACCTCCAGTATGCTGTCGGCACATAAAGTTGCAATGGTGGGGCGTGTTCTGGGTACCATATTTCAATAATAACACATCAGAAAATGTTGTAATGCAAGATTTCATTTAAGAATGAATTAATCTAGGCCTCTACGTTCCTGTTTTTTTGAGAACTTGTGAAATAATAAAGTAATGACACCTCCAGTATGCTGTCGGCACATAAAGTTGCAATGGTGGGGCGTGTTCTGGGTACCATATTTCAATAATAACACATCAGAAAATGTTGTAATGCAAGATTTCATTTAAGAATGAATTAATCTAGGCCTCTACGTTCCTGTTTTTTTGAGAACTTGTGAAATAATAAAGTAATGACACCTCCAGTATGCTGTCGGCACATAAAGTTGCAATGGTGGGGCGTGTTCTGGGTACCATATTTCAATAATAACACATCAGAAAATGTTGTAATGCAAGATTTCATTTAAAAATGAATTAATCTATGCCTCTACGTTCCTGTTTTTTTTTGAGAACTTGTGAAATACTAAAGTAATGACACCTCCAGTATGCTATGTCGGCACATAAAGTTGCAATGGTGGGGCATGTTCTGGGTACCATATTTCAAACATAACACATCGGAAAATGTTGTAATGCAAGATTTCATTTAAAAATGAATTAATCTATGCCTCTACGTTCCTGTTTTTTTGATAACTTGTGAAATACTAAAGTAATGACACCTCCAGTATGCTATGTCGGCACATAAAGTTGCAATGGTGGGGCATGTTCTGGGTACCATATTTCAATAATAAAACATCAGAAAATGTTGGAATGCAAGATATGATTTAAGAATGAATTCATCTATGCCTCTACGTTCCTGTTTTTATGAGAACTTGTGAAATAATAAAGTAATGACACCTCCAGTATGCTACATCGGTACATAAAGTTGCATGTGGAGGCATATTCTGGGTACCATATTTCAACAATAACACATAAGAAAATGTTGTAATGCAAGATTTCATTTAGGAATGAATTAATCTATGCCTCTACGTTCCTGTTTTTTGAGACCTTGTGAAATAATAAAGTAATGACACCTCTAGTATGCTTTGTCCAGTATACACACACACACACACACACACACACACATATATACATATATATATATATATATATATACATACATTATAAATATGTTAGACTGGAGTAATGGATAACTTCTAATAAAGAACAGAAATTACATTACATTAAATCTCAGTTGGAAACATACTGTCACGTTTCTCCATACTTAAAAAAATTTTTTAGTAATTATAAAATAATAATTTACCACATAGCTTACACCATTTATAGAGGCAGACAAAATGATCTTTTCAGGAATAGGCTATTTATTTTCACTGTTAAATGAAAATCACTGTTAAATGAAAAATGCTGCCCGATCCACAGGCTTGTAATTCACATACAACTGTTCCTTTAAAAAATACGGCCAAAAGCACCGAGAGCGCAGTAAGAGAGGGGTTAACAACTGTCCAACATTTTTAAGGTGGAACGAATAGTTCGATGAATAAGGAGCTGGCGAAAAAGGAGCTGGAGTCAGCCTCGTGACAGACGTTTGTTTTCAGCCTCCCTTGAGCTAAAAGCACAAGGTGTTGATGTATGGAGTCGAGAAGACAGGTGAGAAACTGCCCCGCTATGTTTCGCATTAACGACAAATCTAAGCATTAAAACATAAACATGCAAATTCATAGATAAAGGAAATCTATGCTATGGCTTTTTACCTGTAATTGATTCTTGCGTTCATTCGTGTCGTGTTTGATGAAAGCGATGTTGTAAAGCGTCATTGAACAGAGGAGGGTGGAGGAGCGAACAGGAGCTGTTTCCGCTCTTAAAGGTACAGCACCTCATTAATGGATAATGTTTTGTATGAAACATCCCTTTACCTAATGCACTTTTGTCTGTACACAGACGTGATGCTTTTACTGATAATGAAATATTGAGCCACTTACTATTGTTGGAAAGTCAGATTCATTAAGTTGAATACTATCGGTGCTTCACATGAAGTCCTATTGTAGTTTTTTATTTAAACAATTTTTATTAAAATAATATATTTTCAAGTTTGATGTTGTCAAGCTTGTAGTCAGAACATTTCATAATGTCTTTTAGGAGACACAAATTCTCTTCTGGAGCAACCTGTTGGCTAGTTTTTTTTCTTTGAGATTAATTTAATAATACATATTTAAACAAATCAAGAGTTAGCATTACTCGATAAATATTCCGAATAAAACTGTTGAATAATATAAAGCTTAAATAAAGGACTTTTACTGTACAGAATTTAACAACCAAAATAAATGGCAAAGTTTATATATGGCATATCATAATGGTAATTCTAAGTGCTTATCTAGACATAATTAAGAGAAAGAAACCTAAAGATACAGAACTTTATATGCCTATACATTTTCTTTCCTTTATATAAAAAGTATAGAATAAAAAAAAGTGTAGAAAAGAACGTATTATACACAAAATAATGCATTGCAATAAAATGCATCACAGTTCATGCATATTCATGACATGTCACAGTTTGTTTAAATGTCTTTAGCGCAGTAATTTTAGTTTATAAAGGTACTACTTATAGTTAAACTGTTATAACCCATCCCACTGGATTAAATGTCTAGGATTATTATTGTTGACAGTGTCAACATCATGAAAATAAAATGTAGTAAAACCAGCAGGGTCAGTGTATCTCAAGATGTCCAATTGAGATTGCTTGACCATTTTCAATTCTTCTAAATTTGTTTGATTGATTGATTGATTTATTGATTGATTGATTGATTGCCTCTATGTGTGTCGGTATTGCAAAATCACTAATTTTTATTTTTTTATTTTACTTGGTTTAAACACAATAGCTGTCTTTCCCAAGAAATTGTGGTTATAGGGGTGTACAGAAACCTCAAGGATGGGTGTTGCTCCCAAAAGGCAGTTTCTTGTTCCTTTGACTTAGAATGTATGTCCAAATGTAATGAACAAGATCACACAAGGATCCACTTTTAATTTCAATTTATTATAGGAAGGTTTCGATTCTCAGTCCTAAATAAAACATTTCGGGCAGAACATTTCAGGCTTGAAACTTCTCTTAATTTTTTTTCTCATAGGGGTAATAAAGTGCAATTTAAAATACTAGGCTACTCACTTTCAGGTTTTGATATCTACGCTGTGGGGTCAGATATAGGAAGCTGAAATTTTCCAAGAAGTCAATTTTTTATGTTAAAGAAATTGAGTTTGAGATTTTACTGGTTACAGAGTTAGCTAGAAATCTCAGGTAAAGCCTAATTTAATATAAGCATAACAAATAATAATGAACAGTATTCCACAGTAATTATGTTTATGATTGACATGCAATAGCTTAAATATACAGACATTCAATAGGCCTACAGTACAATACCATACCTATGGTACTAATAAATAAAATAGCCTAAATGACATTAGTTTAGTGTTTTACATCATTATCTTTTTGTTTGTTTTCTTTTAGAATATTAATTAATATAACTAATTTTAAACACTCATAAGGCTAAATACACTCACCGGCCACTTTATTAGGTACCCCATGCTAGTAACGGGTTGGAGCCCCTTTTGCCTTCAGAACTGCCTCAATTCTTTGTGGCATAGATTCAACAAGGTGCTGGAAGCATTCCTCAGGGAGTTTGGTCCATATTGACATGATGGCATCTCACAGTTGCCGCAGATTTGTCGGCTGCACATCCATGATGCGAATCTCCTGTTCCACCACATCCCAAAGATGTTCTATTGGGTTGAGATCTGGTGACTGTGGAGGCCATTTTAGTACAGTGAACTCATTGTCATGTTCAAGAAACCAATTTGAAATGATTAGAGCTTTGTGACATGGTGGAAGTAGCCATCAGAGGATGGGTACATGGTGGCCATAAAGGGATGGACATGGTCAGAAACAATGCTCAGGTAGGCCGTGGCATTTAAACGATGCCCAATTGGCACTAAGGGGCCTAAAGTGTGCCAGGAAAACATCCCCCACACCATTACACCACCACCACCAGCCTGCACAGTGGTAACAAGGCATGATGGTTCCATGTTCTCATTCTGTTTACGCCAAATTCTGACTCTAACATCTGAATGTCTCAACAGAAATCGAGACTCATCAGACCAGGCAACATTTTTCCAGTCTTCAACTGTTCAATTTTGGTGTGCTCTTGCAAATTGTAGCCTCTTTTTCCTATTTGTAGTGGAGATGAGTGGTACCCGGTGGAGTCTTCTGCTGTTGTAGCCCATCCGCCTCAAGGTTGTGCGTGTTGTGGCTTCACAAATGCTTTGCTGCATACCTCGGTTGTAACGAGTGGTTATTTCAGTCACTGTTGCCCTTCTATCAGCTCGAACCAGTCTGGCCATTCTCCTCTGACCTCTGGCATCAACAAGGCATTTCCGCCCACAGAACTGCCGCTCACTGGATGTTTTTTCTTTTTCGGACCATTCTCTGTAAACCCTAGAGATGGTTGTGCGTGAAAATCCCAGTAGATTAGCAGTTTCTGAAATACTCAGACCAGCCCTTCTGGCACCAACAATCATGCCACGTTCAAAGTCACTCAAATCAACTTTCATCCCCATACTGATGCTCGGTTTGAACTGCAGGAGATTGTCTTGACCATGTCTACATGCCTAAATGCACTGAGTTGCCGCCATGTGATTGGCTGCTTAGAAATTAAGTGTTAACGAGCAGTTGGACAGGTGTACCTAATAAAGTGGCCGGTGAGTGTAGGTCTCCTTTGGAAGATTGCTGAGGCCCCCTAGTGGTCACCTGTCCTCCACACTGTAAAAAATGATATGATCAATAAGTTATCACAACATATGTTTTTACATTACTTTAACTCATCAAAATAAGTTAAGCAATTTGCAACTTTTTTTCAACTTTCAGGATTCAACTAATTTTTTATAGTCATTTTAATGTAATTTAAGTTGAAATGACTTAAACATCCAAGTCGTTTGTACTTAAAATTTATGGCAGCAACTTGTTTATTTTACAGTGCAGTTTAAGTTAGTGTGTGATTTTATGGACTTTTATAGTGAGAATTTGCTTTATTGGTCAAATGGCAAAATCTTATTTTTTTTTTAATTATTTTAATTTTGAAGCCAACATAATGAAAGCGTATTAACAAAGATTGCATCATTTTATAGTTAAATGCCCCTGCGGTTAATAATTGTAGTTTCGGTGGGTTTCAATGGGGACATTTTTGGTCCTGAGTGGAACTATTTACTCACTATAAAATACTTTATTCCTGTTTTCTGCTTCTGCATATTATAAAGCCAATTGGATAAATGATGCAGCTGTAATTGTGTGAGTGTGTTGGTATGGATGTCAGATTGTGGTTTTTATGTGTGCATTGTGCAATAAAATAAATGTGTGTGTGTGCATGCTTGTAATATTTGAGACGAGAGAAAAACTCTACTGCAAATCACAAATTAACCACTGTGTGCACCAGTGGAGTTTTGCTGGCATCTAATGGAGAATATTTGGTACTGCGCCCAAACAAAATCTTACTAAAAGCAAAAAAAAATTAGATATCAACCTTCTAGCAGTTTTAGAGTTCAACATGTTTAATTAAATATATGTTTTATATGAAATTATGTTAATAAATAATTTTCATTAACTTACACCTCTATCACTTTTTTTGTGGTTTCACTTTTTAAACTTTTTTTAGTTTAACAAACTTTAGTTTATAGACAAAACCTAATGTTTTTTGACAGACATTTATGTCCACTATGTGGACCTATGTGTAGCCTAACTTTTTTAATTGACGCACAAGGGTTAAGCACATCTGAAATAGTACTGTATTACAATAATGACAAATCACCTAATAATGAAATTGACAAACAGCAACACTAAAATTCCCAGATGCAGTATGATATTGATCATTTTGAGGAAAATTTGCTTAGGATTACTGTTTTAGACCTTATTTGCAAACATAAGCTATTGTATGTCAATCATAAACAAAATTACTGTAAAATACTGTCATCATTATTGATTACTCAAATCTGAATTTTTCTGCATGCACACTATACTTATAGGCATACCTCTAAAAAACTATAGGACTGAGATTCAAACCATTATTGTATTATTTCTGTGATGTAGGCTAGTCATAAACCAGATTGGAAAAATGGATGAGTTCAGAAATGTGTTTATCCAACTGTTAGTTCACCCAAAAATAAAACTTAGCCCATGATTTACTCACCCTGAATTCATCTTTGGTATATATGACATTCTGCAGTCGGAGTTATATTAAAAATGTCCTGGCTCTTCCAAGCGCTATAATGGCAGTGAATGGCCGGTTTTGAAGTGCATCTATCCATGATAAAAGTACTCCACGCGTCTCCGGGGGTTAATAAAGGCCTTCTGAAGCAAAGTGATTATAACTCTATAGGTTTGGGAATAATTGATGACAGGCTGCTGAATTATTTGAAAAATAATGCACATCCGAGGTTGTAATGCAGCCACGACTCGAAGTGCAGTTCAACGGCCCGTCGTCAGTCATTTTTTTCATTTCATTTATTTATTTTTGAACAGGGACAATGTAAAATACACAATAACCTTAAGAAGGAGAGATGCATTTTACCAGGTTGTAGCACTTGTGCTAATTTCCACCTGTAGTCCCTGGGCAGGCTGATGTCGACAGATACACATATTAATAATACATTTATCCCAAAAACAGCATTAAAAAAATCACACCCTCCATTCATTCCTCAGCATTCATTTACAAATACACTCTCACATACACATCAATTACAATACATTATGTGAACATGTTTGTTTTAAAAGAAGCCATTTTTTGGCCCGATGTAAAAAAGTGTTAAAATTTACACATG